AGTGTATCTTTTCCATTTGTTTAAGTAAAAGCTGTTATGTTTATGAAGGTCAAACGTTGCTTTTGTGAATATACAGTATTTGAGCCATTCACAATGATAAAACGAAAAAGTGATAAGTCACGGGATAGCTTTAATGTTTTCGTGACTGGGCATGTTTATTCATAAGCCCAAGTAATAATTGAAAATAGGGATCATCAATAATTCAATATCTCTGTCACACAATTGCTTAGTGGAGAAGAAGTATCCTCAGCTGAACAGAGCTGGTCGCATTTAGATGCTGTGTTAAAAAAAATTAAAATTAAAAACACACAGTATGGCAGTCCATGTAGTTGGATGGCTGAGCTCCAGATAGTTGAAAGATTTTTTGACAGTTACAGATAAAAAAAATAAAAAAAACTTTGGAATAAAGAACCCTAAACTCTAAAACAAAGGCATTAAAAGATTTCTAAATATGTGTGAAGAACCTTTAAAGAGCCTTCATTCTTTTAAGTGTTACCAGAATGGTGTGCTAAGTCAGATATGTTCTGCTTCCTGTAGTGACGCTCACACAGTGTTCGCTAAATTATCGCAGATGAAATGGATTAGAAGCAATATTGGTCAAATATGATTGGTCAAGCCAAGCTCATTGTTAATGTTTATGTTTTGTTTCATGTATTGGGTTTAATTCACAGTTTATGTTTTGTGGATTATCACTATTAAATAAAACTGCACCTGGGCTCTCTACATCATCTTCCTCATATTTTTTATGTCAGCTACATTACACAGGCCAGGTGGTTGCTTTCTGGCCAAAGTCAAAAAAGTCCACCCCAAAATGTTCTTATGTTCTAGTGCTTAGATATGGCTTGTGTTCCTCCTTCAGTGTTAGTGTAGGAGATTTTTTCCCTCCAGTTTTATCATCCACCAGATTGAAATAAGTCAGGCCGCTTATAAAAGTAATAACACACCTCTGCTCAACAAGCCACACGGTTTGAAGCATCATTCATGTCTTTGGCACAAACAGTGCCGGATGAGTTATTCGCTGAAGTGCGGAGTCTGTTCAAATCCCAAAACTTAAGAATAAACAGTAGTGATGCGCGCCTTAGGAAGCTCCAAAGTAATCAGATTTAAAATAATCAGATCAGCGCTACCAATGCTATGAAAAGATATGTAATGAAATGGTCCATGAGCTACAGTTTAACGTAGAAGATCCAAGAGAGAATCGCATCACTTGTTTCGATTACTCTAACGGCACACTACATTGTCGAATGATAAAGGAGCCGCTCTTTTCCCACTTCAACTGAGTAGTTCAAATGGATTTTCAGTCAGATGATCGTTGAAATGAATTTTACAGACGTATTTGACTGGACACGGGTGACTTTAGTGAAAGGATTTTCTGATATTAGCTGTATCCAAGGAAGACGTCTCTAAAATGAAGAGAAGCTCAATCGTGAGAGGAGCACAGGGGTGGGATCGAAGCTGCCCTGCGTTTATCTGACATTGACAGCTGTGTGGAGTTAATGAAGGTTCGTAATTAACATGGATTTCCGCTAATATTCAAGGGTTTTGTATTCCAAATGAAAAGTATTAATCCCTTTAGTTCGAAAGTATAGGCAGCCGCTCTCAAAACCCCGCGGTCAATCCTTCACTAACATCGCCAAAGAAGCCCTAGTCAGGGAAATGGAAAATCGGTATATTGTAAACAAGCCTGTGATTATGTTCTGTGGTGTTTATTCAGCCACTCCTGTACAACGTGTGAATGTTTCACACTCGCTGCAGTTTTCGAAGATGTTTCTCCAGAGTAGTGCGAATTCTTTGCATCAAGTGGCCTAAAATATATTTTAGGTGGCTCTAAGGGGACTTTTCATTTTCACTACCTTCGTCACGAAGGCTCATTTGCATACTGCTTATACCCACCGGTCTCCGCCGCTCGTCCTTTCTGGCTCCGCGTCCTTGTCGAATGTGGGTTCTCGCTTTCTCCTACATGAAAGAACGTCTCTTAGTTGATTTATCCTTATGAACTTTCCATGTACAGGTTACACTTTGTCACGCCTCTGTGAGTTTCTGCCTGCCAATTCTCATCAGCGTCTGCTGGATCAGGGTACTTAATACTGTAAATATGAAAGCCAAACATTACGAGACAAATTAATGGGGAAGAAATTAGACTGACGGCTCCCTCTCGTCAAGACTGTTAGTTTTAGGCAGAAATTGAATTTTAATAAAATGATTGCTATGTAAATATTCATTGTCACACTTCTGCTAATCAAAGCAGGGGGAAAAATACTGGAATATACATCCACATCTGAATTGGTATGCTATTTTTTCTTTTTATTAATACTTTGAATTTGTTTTTATTATTATATTTTCCATCATTTCAATATTTGTTAAAGTTTTAGTAATTTTGTTGGTTTTTGGTGTCTGTTTATGTATATAAATATATATGTGTGTGTGTGTGTGTGTGTGTGTGTGTGTTGGTTTTTCCAGCTGTCTAGGAGCAGTTTGCGAAATGCATGGCTTAAAGGCCGGGACACACCAAGCCGACTTCAAAGAACTAGCGGCGACGAAAGCCGACGGTGTTGTCGCCTCACATCGGCAGCGTCGGACCAAAAAGCTGCACTCAAACACACCGCACAGACTACAGCCGGCGGCAAACTAACACATGCGTTCGGCGCATGCGTGAGAGGAATTAACTGTCTATCAATAGTATATATTCGTCATTCAAAAGGAGAAACCGAAACTAAGATATACGAGATAAACGCAGATATACGAAACGTAAACAAAGCAGCGATTGCTTACCATTTTGAATATCAGTAACGTTGATAACTTTAATAATTTTAAGCGGCTTATGTTGTTATGAAAACATTCGCGTATTAGAATGATTGGGAAAGTTCACGTAACATTTAAACAGCCTTCTATCTGTACCGCCTTCGTTTACGTGCTTGTTTTCATCACTTTCGCTTTAATTCTCGGGCACTGACTCGTTCGCTAAACTGAACATCCAATCAGAGCTCTCACTCGCGCCAATGGTCCCGACGGCCCGACGCCAATTCAACATGTTGAGTCGGGCAAACTGCCGCCGACGTGAGCCCGACGAGTAGAACACACCAAACAAACTAGACCGACCATCGCTCGCCGTCGGCCTGACGTTGGCCAACGGCAGACCGTCAGCTTGGTGTGTCCTGGCCTTAAGATGTTTGAATGTTTCCACAGAAAAAGGAAGTACAAATTGTATAATTAGATCTGAAATGGTTTACAAAGTTATTTTAAGTTGGTAAGCAACCATCCTATTTGAATGCCCCAATTGAGAATTGAAAGTGAACTGAGACACAATCTTGACTAAACTGGACCAAAAATAAGATGTGAGTCTACATATGCAGTGTGAATGCAGTGACTTTTTCATCTACTTAAAGAGGTCTGAGTTTGAGATAACAACTTTTTAGTGCATTCACTTTGTGGCACTTCAAGCGATGGCTTTTTAAGAGCTATAATAAATCCGAGAGCTTGTTGCTCATATGCTCGAGTTCTCAGGTGGTCTCTTTAGAGTGAGACACGGTAATTTTTTTTTTAATCTCTCCTTTGTATTTTCCTGGACCTCAGACAAGAAATGACTTCTGTCTTTGTCTGAAGTTAATTCATTATATAAGGGCAGCACAGAGGTGCTCTCTGAAACTGCTCTCTGAACAGTGAATGAGGGCGAATGATAAGATAAAAGCGAGACTCTAGTTATCTCTGTTAAATTCAATTTGCCTTCCTGCTCTCTCTTGTTTTCAGAAAGAATGAAATGTCATTAGGAGTATATCTCATCTTGACTTCCACTCAAATTAACAGCATTCTGATTAAGGCCATTTGACGTGCCGTATACTTGGGTGAGCATATTAATCATCAGAGCATTCTGTCCTTACCAACACCAGCTATTTCACTTTAAGACCCGCTTTTAACTTAAGCATAAGCTAAATTATATAAATGGATATTACCCATACTCTTACATCTTCTGACTTTTATAATTAACAGCCCTTTCATTGCTTTGAACAGTTAATTGGCTAATGTCTTTTGATAGCCATCAATGTACTAATCCTCACCAAAAGATACTATCAGTCAATTAACATTTTAAATGACTCTATTGACAATGTTATCTTTAAATCTAGATGTTAAAATAACAATGAAGGACAAGACTTGTTCACAGAGTGCAAGTAGGACGGTGATTCTGTTCATTCCGAGATCTACAGTAGTACTGACATTTTGTATGCTTTTCAAAAACCTGAATCTTTTAAATATTCGTTTAAAAAATATACAAAACTATTTTCATGTTTGTGTTTGTGCTTATGACATATTTACAATTACTCAGAACTTCAGAACACTACAAGACAAAAAGGGGTCCCACTTTATATTACGTGGCCTTAACTACTATGTACTTACATCAAAAAATAACTACAATGTACTTATTGTGTTCATATTGTATTGCAAAACACTTTTGCTGCTATTGAGGTGGGATATGGGTAAGGTTAGCGACAGGTTTGGTGATATGGGTAGGTTTAAGGGTGGGTTAAGGTGTAAGTCAAGTGAAAACAGTGTGATTATAAATGCAGGTATTTTTTAAATACAAGTACAATGTAAAAACAAATATGTAGACAATAAGTGCATTGTATCAAATGATTAATTGAAATAGTAGGCCACCTAATATAAAGTGGGACCCAAAAAGGAAATTTTAACTTCTTGACTGGTGCACACTTTCTAAATAATCTTTTTCTTTATTTTTTTTTCTATTAATATATTGTACAACATGGTACTGAAAGGTTACCGTATTTACTACCAAGGTGTTAAAATGTGGTAATACTGTGGTACCTTCAGTATATTTCATTAGTTATTTAGACATAAATGTTATATTTTCTTATTACAGGCACATGCTGATTAGTTTTTGCATTCGTTATTTTTATTTTGGGCTAATTAGTTTATTTAACCTTCTGAAGAAGTTGAGAAATGTTTACTGTGGCAGATGAATTACATCCTCCATTTTTAACAGGATCATGTTGCTTCGGAATAACACCCTCCGCATCATTAACTCCAGCCGCTCAGATGAGGGAAGCTACATGTGCCGTGCGGAAAACCAGTTCGGTTCAGCGGAGTTGACGACCGTGCTTCTGGTGAAAGGTAAGAGACCCCCATCAACCTCCAGCCCCCATCCCGTCGGTCCCATCCCGTGGTTAACCACACTAGAGCAAACAGAGCGCCGCCTGACTGAGCCGGATGGAAGAAGAGTTCATTGCGGCTTATCAGGCGTGAAGATGTTTGTTTTGCCCGCTCAAGAATCTGCTCACAAGAGCATCTACTGTCTCCTAGGACAGCTATTGTTGAGGAGGTTGTTCTTTACCAAGAAAACAGATAATAACTAGGAGGCATGGGACGGATTGTCTTAACTTTATCACTGTTAGCGTATGTGAGTATTTGTTGAAAGGAACCCTTGAGATACAAAATACATGTCACGTGCAAAATCACTATTTCATAACACATTGTACTGTACGTGAGTCTGAGGCGCTGTTTGCATCTTGTATTAAGATGCATTTTGGCACAATATATCAATGTTGGAATTGATTGTTTTTGTGCGCGTTCTCAAAAAACACGTCCCATAATGTTCACATATTAGGTCAGTGGGCAGAGTGTAGGTGGCCTTTTCAGGCTATTTGAACACATTCAACCATCTGAGCCTTTACACTACAAATGCTATCCAGTCAAATTAGTTTTCTACTCTGAAAGCAGTCGAAAGCGGACAAGCTCAAAATGTTTTATACCCTATTTTCATCTATATTTAATGTCCTTATTTTGTCATTCTATTGACGAAAATGCATCTTAATGCCAGAAAACTGTCAAAGTTATAATGTATGGTCACATTAGTGAAATCTCTGCAAAATTTTGAAGGATAAAAAGGTCCATGGTCAGTAGTGTCTATAATCAAAAGTCACTTTCAAACCAAGCAGCTTTTGTTTGTTTACACAGCAGATTTGTGTGAGCAAAATTAAACTTTTATTATCTCTCTAGACCCATTATTAGGTCTGAACACTACATTTTTTGACATTTTTTTTTTTACAAATATGAATTAGAAATGCAAATTAACCATAATTGTTTTTTATGATAATTGTTTGTCAGTTAACATTAAAATAACATAATGAGGTAATGTGATAGGAATGTAACATACTAGTGAGGTATAATGTGTGTTTTATATATAATTAAAAAAATAGCATGTACTGCACAGCTAAATGCAACAATCTCATGTAATATAAAATATTTCCAAGTGAAAATGTAGAATTGGATTGGATTTTGGATGTTAGGTGATGAAATTATTGGTGAATATTGCCCTTAGTTGCATCAGTAGAAATGAAAACTTCAGAGGCAGAGAAACTTTTTCTTTTCTTTTCTTTTTTATTCCCTCCCCCTCTTTACAATAAGGTCCCATTGGTTATTGTTAGTTAATGCATTAACTAACATTTACTAATAATGAGAAATACATTTGCTATAGTATTTATAAATCTTTGTTAATGTTAGCTTAAAAAAAATTATAAAAATTTTCATTGGAAATTACACTGCATAAGGACATCAGATGCCATTCATAAAACACAAGCTGCAAATAAAACAATTAAATAATATTGTTTTAATAAATAATATGATACAATGTAATGCAGCAATTTATGTAGGAACAATTTAGTAAGCTGTTGCATATTTTCTGTTTGTCAAGGTCTGATATACTAGATGATAAACTTGATGTTAGAAACCATTTTCCCTTTTTTCCCCTCACAATTACAAATTGACAATTATGAATTTTACTGTAGTTTAATAATTCATTTGTTTTCCAAATAGTAACTGTATCCAGAGTTTCTGACATAGCTGCAGATGTCATATGGTCCTTGTGTGCTGATGACGGAATGATGTTCATGTTTCAGAGCCCATGCGGGTGGAGTTGAGCCCCATTCGGGTGGAGGTGACAGTGGGAGAGAGTGTGGTGCTCAGCTGTAAAGTCACTCATGACCCCTCACTGGACGTGTCCTTCCTCTGGCTGCTCAACAACCAACCGCTCAACACCCAGCAGGAGGGCGGTCACTTTGAGTACATTCAAACAGTAAGCGGCTTCACCACAGATGTGCTTCTGTGTACTTGTGCTGATGCTGTAGGTGACATATACTGTAGATAATGCAGGGGCGGATTTAGTGATTTGGGGGCCCCAGGCAAAATACAGGAATGGGGCCCTATACAATTTCACACATTTACAACCTTGAGGTTCCTTTCACTGTTGCTCGCTGCTGCACGACCGTGTCCCATAGTTGTGTCTAATCTTTTAGATTTTTCATGTACATGTTATAAATAAAGGATTTCTTTAATGTTATAAATCCCTTGTTCATATTTAAACAGGTTATAATAGTATTAGAGTAGGTTGGACACTAGGTGGTGCGTTGGGGTAATTTCCACTATGCAATTGTCTACACAACGCAAGGCTGTCTAATTCTAAACTTTAAATATATACATTTATTTTTTATTTATTTTAATTGCACATTTAAATTAAACTGAAGGAAATTATAAATTTGCATGCTTAAGGATTATTTCAACCAAACATGAAGTGTGGGTCTTTCACAAAAACGAGTGAGCGCCGTTTAAAAAAATTTAAATAGGCCCTATATAATATGCACTGTTGCTTAGTATTAAAATTATAGCTTCAGATGCATGATATTTGTAGGGCACTATGAAATCCGTTTTATTTTTCCAAAATCTTTTTTTCCAGTTAAAATTTTTCTGGATTCAGTTTTTTTTTTCTTTTCTTTTTTTCTGGATGATTATATTAAATTTGAACAAAAAACATGTCTAATTAATTAAAATCATGAAACTTGTTTAATTTAACAGCAATTTAGGCCTATTAAAAGTTTAACAAAAATTACATTCAGGGCCCAAATTCTGCGCTTTCTTTTTTTTTTTATTAAAATTTTTCTTGCTTAAATAGCAAACGAAACGCGCGTCTGCGCCGTTCATTCCGTCACATTCCGTGTTGCACAGTAAATTCCGTTTTTATGAATATATTCCGGGATTCCGTCCCCATTTTCTACATCGCCCTACTTTTGCTAAGAAGCACGTTCAACGCGGACGCACAGACGGTTGTCGTGGTAATGAACACCACAGCAACCACTTGTGCGTCAGCACTGAACGCGCATCTCGCATATAAAAAGCATTTTAGGGGGCCCTTGGCTTTTGGGGGCCCAAGGCGGTCGCCTACCTTTGCCTAATGGTTAAGTCCGCCTCTGAGATAATGAACTGTGCATCTGTTTGGTGGTTATCTGGTTGGTATTATTTGGTGTTTTATGGATAGTAATGTCACTTGCACTATGCTATTTTTAAAGAATATGCAATGTATCAGTGATAAATGATTTATCAGTGGTATATCGATATCAGTCAGTATTAGTATTTTGTAAATTATTGGCATCAACCTGACTTGGCAGATATTAAAAATAGCTATATATATTTTTTAACATTCAAACAGTAAACTTTTTTTTTTCAATAAATCACTTATATTTCACTGATATTTGCTTCTTAAGTCATTGGCCTCTTTTATCATAATGTTTGTTTCACTGGACTTTCACTGGACAAGTGCAATGCTATACCAGGTGAGCTACCAAGCAAGTTTACTACATCAGAAAAACCATCAAAATGTACTGGTTCATAAATGCACTATACTAAAAGTGAGAACATAGTATTGTTTGAGGAACCATGCAAAAATAAACCTTTGTTAATCTGCCCCACAATCATAATTTGTGGCCACTAGTGATAATTTTACCTATAAACTGCAGTGAATTGTATGTATGGGTATAAAACAGTATAGGTTTTTTTTTTGTAATTTTGCTAAAACTTTTTTTTATATAGTAACTGTCAGTATTAGCATTTCATCAGTTATTGGCACATGCTTCATTTGGATGACATTGGATGTACAGTAGGTAATTTTAGAGGGTTTTTTTTTTCAACTGAAACATTAAACAATTTTTACATAATTTGCATAAGTTTCCTATCAGTATCACTCAGTATAAACATTTTATAAACTATTTGCATCAACTTGATTTGGTCATTGTTGGAATAATATAATATAATAACATATAATATCATAATAATAATAACAAATAATATCAGCTTTTTTCAATTCAAACATTACTGTCTACTCTTTCTCTCTCTCTTTTTTTTGTTTCTTATAAAACCACTATATTTTTGGTATATCTGTTTTAACTGACTTTTTTTTTTAATTATTGGCTGAAGGGTTGTCGCAGCATACTGGTATTGACAATAACAGTGAGCAAATATATAAAAAAAATAAAAATAAAAATGATATTATGTTAATACTGTACATTACGGGTGTGCAGCAAAGCCAGTATTTGTATCTGTAACAATCACAAAATTATTCGTATCTGTATCTGTATTCGGATAAAACCGGAAGTAGGCGGAGCTTGAATTTACTTTACAATTATACTTGATAAGACTATCATGTCTATGGTTTTACCGCCTTTCTTTTTTTTCGTAGTTATCACTGAACAAATATGCCGTGTTTAACTAAAATATTTTTTTTATGGTAATTTTAGAGGGGGGTTTTTTTCAACTGAAACATTAAACAATTTTTACATAATTTGCATAAGTTTCCTATCAGTATCACTCAGTATAAACATTTTATAAACTATTTGCATCAACTTGATTTGGTCATTGTTGGAATAATATAATATAATAACATATAATATCATAATAATAATAACAAATAATATCAGCTTTTTTCAATTCAAACATTACTGTCTACTCTTTCTCTCTCTCTTTTTTTTGTTTCTTATAAAACCACTATATTTTTGGTATATCTGTTTTAACTGACTTTTTTTTTTAATTATTGGCTGAAGGGTTGTCGCAGCATACTGGTATTGACAATAACAGTGAGCAAATATATAAAAAAAATAAAAATAAAAATGATATTATGTTAATACTGTACATTACGGGTGTGCAGCAAAGCCAGTATTTGTATCTGTAACAATCACAAAATTATTCGTATCTGTATCTGTATTCGGATAAAACCGGAAGTAGGCGGAGCTTGAATTTACTTTACAATTATACTTGATAAGACTATCATGTCTATGGTTTTACCGCCTTTCTTTTTTTTCGTAGTTATCACTGAACAAATATGCCGTGTTTAACTAAAATATTTTTTTTATGATAATAACATTTATTTAAATATCTTATAACAGTCGGAGCTGATACCCTTGTATAGGCAGTGCTTCAAGATTTAGTGCGGTTGTGCTTCGGGGGAACGCGAGTTCGAGTCCCAGCTTGGGGACCTTTTGTGATCCGATAAATAAATATTGAAATATCTTCTGATTAAAATAGTAAGGGTTCCTATGCAGTTTAGAAATATGGAAATTGATTTAAGTAATTTCCAGGAAATGCATTGAAAAAGGCAAGTGCAACACTGCTATTTTATTTGCGCTTATTTTATTCATAGAGTTTACACTTGTTTACTTCACACACTTGTTACTGCATTGTAATTTTAGAGGTTTATGTAAAACAACATGATTTCCTTTGGCTCACCGGTTACTGCGCAGTTAAAAAAAAATTTTCAAATTAAAAAGTAATTTGCAGGTCTGGAAAAGTATGGAAAAAGGAGAACAGAGTATGGAAAAATATTTGTGTCTCGACTATTTGCCCTATTCAGTGTTCTAAAATAGCAAATTAAATTCAAAAAATAAATTGATCATGCAAGTAGAGAGCTTTCATGACAAACGTTTACTAATCATCTGAACATGACTGAATTATTACAAGGCGCACTTTTTCATTAAGCAGAACTTTTTAAGCAGTCTTTTTTTGAACTTCTCTAAACAGATGTGCGTGTGCCACGCAAACCAGCAAAAGATAAAGAAGCAAACATGTAGGCCTAGTAGAAAATGTATCTGTATCTAAGCTGATTATTAGCCTACTCTTGATAGAGAGAGCTGGTTTGGTTTTTGAGAGATGCTCAGAGACGGCAACATGGCTGTTTGATTGGCGATCACGCTGTGCTCATTCCATTAATTCGTGTATCATATCGAAGACTATAATGTTGAAATAATTGCCTTTTAAATATACACAAATAGTAGAACGTGTATGATGAAAAAGAAAAAAAAAAAACATAATTTTAGTTGATATTACTCTTGCCAAGCACTGATTTCTGAGAGATGCACGGAGAGGCAACAGCAATGCAGTGTTTGATTTGCGCTCTTTTCATTCATAAAGTTTACATGCATTCACTTCACACACTCATTATTGCGTAACTTTAGAGGTCTGTGTAAAATATCGCGCTGATCCCCTGGTTACCTAGCCTCAGCCGAATATTCGGGCAGAATTGTTCGTTATCCGTTAGGGTTAAGGATTCCGTTAAAATAATCCGTTAGGATTATCTGTGCCTTTCCGAATAAGGTATTCGAATTCGGGCACACCCCTACTGTACATATGATAATATCATAAATAATCCAGTACCAATGACTGTATGGTTACTTGTAGCTACTGCTGTCATACAAAATAATGTTGGAGGAAATTATATGTGAAAGTGAGACACTTAATACCCCCTAGTGTTGGGCGATATGCTCAATTTTCATATCGTCCTATCGTCAGCCTGTGAGATCGCCGATACACGATATTATCGTGCTAATTTATTTAATTATATATTTACCTAGTTTCATTGCCGGAAAGTGAACCAACTCCACAGTGTAAGGCTAAAAGCAGGCTAATGTTTTTAATATGACTGAATTTGTATTTAACGTGATAATTTAATAGATTACAAATTAATAGAAACATCGTAAGTTACTAA